CCCCTGCCAATCCCTTCCCCCCTGCATCTGGACCTCCACCCCTGCACTGAAACCCCCACCCCGATGAGTCTCACCCCCCTACACCTGGACTACCCCAACAAGCCCCCGCAACTCAACCCTTATTCCACTGAGCCACAACATAGCTGCACCTGAACCCCCACTGCATCAAGCCCCACTTCCCCAGTACCCAGACCTCCCCGCCAAGCCCCATTCTACCCTCACTCAGACACCCCTGCTGACCACAACCACCTTCACCTGCATCCTCCTGCAGAGTCCCCCACATTGAGTGGTTCCAGATGCAGGGGCAATGAGCCCCTGTGCATCCAGATCCCCCACACACACAGACCCTCCACTGAGCTGCCCACACCCCATACAGAACCCTCTCACCCCACACCTGGATCTCCCCACACTAAGCCCCTCCATGCTTGGATCCTGTCAGGCAGAACCTACTTGCCCCACACCTGGTGCATCTGGCACGGAGGGACAGGGCCTTGGGGTATTTCTGGGGCAGGCCTGGCCCTTGCGCTGGGTCGGATGCAGCCTCACCACCGAGTCCCTGTCCCGGGGGAGAAAGAGGGGGGGAGATGCAGGGTGATCTCCCACCTCTGTGCAGACAGTGGCCTGTGCTCCCCACTGCCATGCTGGAGCCTTCACATTTATTTATTGACAAATAAAATTTGCAGAATTTTAAAATATTGTGCACATACATTTATTTATTTATTTATTTATTTATTTTGGCACAGAATTCCCTCAGGACAATTCACTTCCTGGCTGAGACTCTTATGTAGTTCTGCTATGCTCCTTCAACCAGCGGCAGTGGTCCACCCCAGAAGTCTGGGGTGAACTGATTTCTCTATTTATCTCTTCTAAGTGACTTGGGATCTTTTCTCTGGAAACACCATTGCTTTAGAACAGCAGCTGGGCTGGTGCTGAGGTTGAGAAGCTGCACCTCTTTGCCAAGCCCACGACATTCTTTTGTGTCTGGTCATTTTCTTTTACAAAAATCCTTTGAATGATAACTGACACCCCCACCCCCGCAACCCCATCTCCACCCTGCTCCAGGACTCCCCGGGCCTGAGGTTGCAATGAGGGGCCTAAGGACTGACTGGAGCTGAACCCTTCTCAGCCATTTGCTTCATTTCCGAGCCCCAAGACAGCAGGACCAAGTCAGGCTTCTTATGGATCTAGCTCATCTGGTCACCCAAGAACAGCCCTCAGGGCGAGCCTGGGCAGGGCTTCACCCAGGATGTGAAGAGACAGCGCAGCCCAGCCCCACTCACTGCTGTCCCATGCTCCCTTACCTCTCCGAAGACAGCTTCCTGGCCACAGCGAACCTTCTTCGTCTTCTGAGTAAACCCTGGGGAACAACACACACAGAATGTTAAGACAATGGTCAGATGCAGGGGTTCCTCCTCCTGGTTCTGGGCCCCGACTGCCTGGAAAGACAAAATCTGCCAGCTGGGAGGCCAGAACATCTAGCTATGCCAAATCTATGCCTAATTCATTAAGGGCCCAATGCTGGACGTTGGGGTGCTCAGCACATCTCAGGACTGGGTCTCGTTCATTTCAGCTTTCCCAGGCTGCAGCAAGTGGGTACTGGCTAGTGTGTGGGGACCCAGGGACTCTGCTGGAGCTGCAGCTCCCCTCCTCCATCTCCCAGCAAAGGGAACCATGGCAGATTCGTTACCAGGGGTGTTTCCCTGCCATCACCTCCCTTCAGAACTAAGCTGATCCTGATCACTCCCACCTGGTCCCTGGGCCCCCGCAGCCCATATTAAGTGAGCTCCCCAATGGTGCTGCTGTGCAGCAAAGCCCATAGATGAGACACAGGATCCATTGGCTCCCCTGGTGCACCAGGAGTCCATTATGATTAAAAGGTTTCCAAATGGCTCTGGGTTGCTGTGCGGTGCTGTGCTCAGACACTGTAGTGCCCAGGCCTACAGAACTGCCTGCAGAGAGAGAGGGTGAATGCTGGGACTGGCACAAGACGGGCTGCAGAGAACAAGCCATGAGGCACAGGCAGGGCTTCAATTCACCTGGAGCTGTCTGGAGCGGAGCTCCAGTAAATATTTTCAAATCCGCAGGGCAGAAGCCCCGAGCTCCAGCACTCTCCATAGGCCAAATGCCCTCAGCCCCAGGGCTGCAGGAAATACTGTATGAGAATTTAAGTGCTGGGCACAGGACTTGTCTGTGCTAATGAAGTCAATGTAAGTTAAGTCGGTGTACAGCCGCTGCAGTAATTACAGTGGTACTTCACGTCCCCATTACCCTCCTTCTTTTCCATCCTTGCCAGGAGCTTTCACCGACTGAAGTGGGGCACTGTGGGGCACTGACAGCTGGAGCCCTGGGGCTGACAGCCTCAGCTATAGGCACTGGGCTCACATCTGCCGCCCCCCAGCTGTCAGGCAGGTGCAGGCTCACAGCTGGCCTCCCTTCTCCAGCCCTGTGCTAGCAGTGTGAGCTGTGAGCCAGCATGGGCTCATTTCACAGCAGGGAGCCTACCAGCAGTGAAATTGACATTCTTGTCAGTTTCATAGCTGCTGTTATTTCACATCAGGGCTCTGGCTCCAGCTGCCAGCCTGTAGGGGGCTCACAGCTGGAGCTCCCTGCCCACCTCAGGGCTGACTGCCAACAGCCAGTGGAAGTAATGCAGTATCTATACTGACACTGTGTTGCCCTAACCACATCAACCATAGTGCTGTGCCTCTCACCACAGCTCGGTGTAGCGGGGGCCTTAGGTCGGCAGAGGCAGCATTGAGGTGTGGACACTGACGTAAGCAGCCTTATGTCGACCTAACTCTGCAGTAGGGCAGAGGGATACAGCCTTCTGGAAGGGGGAAGAAAGTGGTGGGGGGCTGAGGCAGGGAGATGAGACTGGCTGGGAGGGGGGGCAAGGCTGTAAGGGGATGAGACCTGCTGGGGGAAGGGTGCAGGCTGCTGTCAGCGACAAGCCCTGCCAGGGAAGTGGATACGGGCTGTTGCAGGGAGATGGTGTGCTGGCTCCTCTCCTCTCTGGCTGAACCACTGCCGGGGGCTGTATAGCGCCGAAGCCAGTTGGGAGAAAACAGCACAATCTGCAGAATCTCTCACCCCGAGCCCAGCAGCGCCAAAACTAACGCTGAGTCCAAGGCGCTGGCACGGAACAGAAAAGAAGCAAGATCCCTGCCCAAAGCCCCAGCCATGGTACAAAGGGCCCCTCACCAAACCCCGGGCTGCTGACGCTCAGCGGCAGGTGGGATTGAGACCCAGAGCAGTGAGGAGACAGCCTGGGAGCACGAGGCTCTGGGAGAGGAGAGAGGGAACCAGGCAGTGCAGCACCCTGGGCAGAGGGCAGAAGATAGAAACTGGCCAGGCCCCGTCATAGACCTCTGCACATTGGCTACCGACCCCACTGCACACTGGCTCCCGGGGGCCTCCCCCCTGCACGGACCAACATCCTCCCCTTTCCCCCCCCCCGCACACTGGGCACCCCACTGGCTACCAACTCCCCCTGCGCACCAGCACCCAGCCCCCCCGGCTACCAACCCCCCCCCCCGCGTCCTGGCACCCAGCCCCCCTACCACCTCCCCACCCTGCGCACCGGCACCCAGCCCCCCCCCCACGGCTACCAACCCCCAAGTGCCCCGGCACCCAGACCCCCCGCCCAGCCACCAATCCTCCCTGTGGACCGGCCCCCAGACCCCACATCTACCAACCCCACCGCGCACCGGCCCCCAGACCCCCGGACCCGGCTCGCTTGCGCCCCGCGCGGGGCTCTGTCCGCACGACCCCCGCGTCGCACCTCGGAAGCTGAGCTGCACCTGCCGCTCCCCGGTCCCCGGCAGCTGGGGTGACCCGCTTCACGCTGACACTCAGCGCCATGCTGCTGCCGCCGGCCCCAGCCCCGGCCCTGACCCCGGCCCGCTACTGTGCTGCGCTGCGCCCGGCCGGTCCCGGCTCGGTCCCTCTGACTCACCGCCGGGACGCGCCCAGCAGGTTGCGCCGCCTGCTCCCCACCCGGAAAGTACACATGGCCCTGCCCTGCCTGCCCCTCGCCCGCGGCCACCTGCCCCTGGCAGCCTGCACTCACCCCAGCTGCCCTTCGTAGCCTGCACTCACCCCAGCTGCCCCTCGCCCCCCGCACCCCTGCACTCACCCCAGCTGCCCCTCGCCCCCCCGCACCCCTGCACTCACCCCGGCTGCCCCTCGTCCAAGGCCACCTGCCCCTTGCCCCCCGCAGCCCAGTACCCCTGCACTCACCCACCCTGGCACCCCAACTCTCACCCCTTGCACCCCTGAACTCACTGTGGCTCCCCACACTCACCTCAGCTCCTTGCACTCACCCCAGCTCCCTGCACACACCCCCAGCACCTCCGCACTCCAACATTCACCCCAGTACCCTGCACGCTCCCCTACACCCTGCACTCCCACACTCACTCTGGCATGCCAACACTTACCCCCACTCACCCCGGGCAGCCCCCCCCCCAACACTCCCCCCACCCTAGGGCAGATCTTGTAGAAAAACATTTTGAATGAAAAATTGACAGTGATGGAGAATCCACCATGACACTTGATAAATTGTTCCAATGGTTAGTTACTCCGACTGTTAAAAATGTACACCTTATTTCTAGTCTGAATGTGTCTAGTTTCAATTTCCAGCCATTGGACCGGGTTAGACCTTTCTCTGCTGGATTAAAGAGCCCATTATTAAATATTTGTTCCCTTCTCTTTGTTAAGTTAAAATGTAAGCGGGGGAATGGTCCCGCTATTGTGGGGAACTTTCCCGGCTTCTGCACTACCCAGGTGAAGTGGGCTAGCGAAAAGATCCGAGTCCTCGCTCCCACTTCCTTTACCCAGAGGCCTCCCTGCCCTTGAGGACTCCCCTTCCACTCTCCTGTCTGGCAGAGTCCTCGTAAACCCCGACAAGGCTGGGCCCAGGATTCCTGGGGGTCTCGACCCCCAACCCTGCTGTGGTCACCCAGGACAGAAGCTAGGGTGTCCCTACTCCGGGGTACTCTCTCTGCACTGGGCACCTCCCTGACCCACTGATCATTTCATACAAATTAAAGCAAATACAAGTTGTTTAATTAACAATTAATTTTAAAAAAGAATAAGGAAAAATGGGAAAGGTTAAAGGAAAACACATCACCCCGCTCTGTGGCAGGGAACATTACAAACAGTGTCTCTGGAACGTCAGGGCAGTTCACAGTCTGTTTCTTGTAGGTCCCAGGCTCCTTCTCAGGCCCCGGCTGTGCTGCAGAGACGCTGTGGGTTGGACACTTGCTCTGGTGGTGGCCACACGCTCTCAGGCTCTAGGTGGCAGGACCCTTTTTTCCAGCGTCGCCCCCGCCCAGTCGGGGTTATGATCCCCCTGCAAGTCTGGCCTGCAAGGCCTCTTGGCTGAGGCGTCTCCCTGTGCTGGGCCCACTGCCCAGGGTCCCCCTCACTCTCCCCAGCTGCTCACCGCACTCGGACTGCACACGGCTCCGGACTGCCCCAGCCCCAGCTCCGGACTGCTCCAGCCCCGGCTCCAGCTCCACTCTGCCTCAGCACGGCTGCTGCTGCTGCTCTGCCTTCAGCTCCCTGGGCTGCATCTCTGGCCCCTCTGGCTCTGGTTGCTGCAGCTCTGCTCTCTCTGGGCTGTGCTCTGGCTTTGGGGCTGCAGCTCTGCCCCCAGCTCAGCTCGGGCCCCTGTTCTCTCCTTAGCTTGGCCCCACTCTGTCTGACTCAGGCCATTCCAGTTCACACTGAGGACGGGACCCCCTCTGGCCTCCTGACTCTCTGATTAGCCTGCCCGCCCTGTCAATCAGGCTGATCTGGAGCATTGGCCTCTCCCCATTGTTCCTGGGGACTGTCAGTCTCAGGCTCCTGATTTGCCATCGACCCTTCCCCTTTTAGTGCTGGGAGCAGCCAACCAAAACACCCCCACTGAATGTTAGTAAGGGGGCAACAGTCCCCTTACAAAAAGATTGAGCTCTTTGAGTCTATTACTATAAGGCAGGTTTCTAATCCCTTAATCATTCCCATGGCTCTTCTCTGAACCGTCTCCAATTTATCAACATCCTACTTGAATTGTGAGCACCAGAACTGGACACAATATTCCAGCAGCAGTCGCACCACAACCCCCAAATCTTTCTCAGTCACTGCTTCCCAGGATAGCATCCCTCATTCTGTAGTATGGCCTTGTGATGGGGTATACAAACCCCACACTGGGACCAAGGGGTTACAGAACAGCGCTTGGCCAAGCTAGCCCTGCACCTCCAACCCTGCAGGGCACATGCCAGCTGGAGACAGGGCTGAAAAGGGAGCAAACCCAGCTGAGAAAGTGGGAGGGACAGGCCTACCCTGGAGGTTCCTGCCAAAAGGAGCTAGAGATGC